GATCCCAGCGTCGAGCTAAGGTGTCCTCTGCTCGTTGCTCATCCGTGTCTGGGTTCTGTCGCTTGGGCAATCTTTGCTGGGTATCGAAAAACTTTTCGACCGCTGTGCAGGTATCAACCACAACACTTGCATCTTCCATGTCGGCAGTCAGAAACAGTCGCTCATAGGCAGTCAGTAAAGTGTCTCCCAGCGAGGCTCGCTGTGCTACAAGACGATCCCAGCGTTGAGCCAAGGCGTCCTCTGCTCGTCGCTCATCCGTGTCTGGGTTCTGTCGCTTGGGTAGCCGTGAATGCTTCTGGAAAAATGCGTCTGTGGCTTTACAAATTGCTACGTGAGACTCTTCCTGCTTCAGCAAGTGCAAAAGTTTCAGCCGTCTCAATTTAGAATAGATTGCCCGACTCTGGGATAAGTCAGACAGCTGCGACGGTATTTCTCCGTGTACTCGTATGAACTCATCCAACTCTGCGCGGGCACTCTCTGCTTTCTCGACATCCGATTTCTTCTTTGGAGGAAATATTGGAAATACATATGAAGAAAATAGGAGGATATACAAGACAGGAGACTGCCACGTCAGCTTCCAAGAATGTGATACACATCCGATCAGCAAGAGTGTGTAAATTCGACAGCTTCGGAGGGTCTCGGCGTGCAATCCCATGCACCAGGCGCAGCAAAAACATACACCCAACAACGCCTTAGTTCCACTGGAGTATGCATGACAGACTAGCGATCGACCACGTGGGTTAATGTACAACAATATTGTTACTCTAATGCACTACCATGACATGAAGAACGCTGCAACATAACAGGTAGCTATGACGCGCATCAAATAATTGATCAAAGTCTAGACGCCATCATGTCACCCATGTCTGAGAATCCAATGCAATGATAAGGAAACAGTTGCGCGAACTCCACCAGCAACACCTTTGGCCGCGGTAGCAAGGTCTCGTGTTGCAGCTCTACGCATCGCAGTGTGCTCGGTATCAATATCATACCAAGGATCGCCCACCAGGTCGTCATAGGTAGAAGAATAGCCCAGCAACACCCCAGCATCAGTAGCACATGTAGTAAGGTCAACCTCACTCGCCACGAACCCTTCCTTCTTTTGTCATCTGCCCGCAACGTCCGAGGTCGTGTGTACGCACGTCCTCTTCGCGACATCGCGCTCCCCTATACCGGGGACTCCACCACCAAGCTCAGGGATATGCTCTCTACACACTCCACCCTGTATGCACAAACTCTACGTGACATTATTTAGGTTACCAATGTTTTCTCTTTCAAACGCGTCCAAAACGCAACCGTCTTTTGATTCACGCGTGGTGTCTCTTTCTAGTGCGATGCTTCGTGCGGGGAAGCAAAAACGCTTCGTCTAGTGCTCACCAGAAACCACAACGCTCTGTATTCGCATCATTGCTGGTACTTACATGTCGTGAAATCGCATCTGCTTGAGCACTTGAACTTACGACCAGCGTCCGCGCCCGACGTGACCATGTCGATCACTCGCCTGCTAGTGCTATCCTGACTCTTGCAAACAGCTCTGCCATCATAACAATACTTCCGCGTGCCTTGTCTTGCGTGTCTAGAGTCTAGTCTCACTCAAGCCGTCAAACTCATGTAAACATAAGGATTTTTTTGCTGGAGTCGCTTTCCGTCAATCCACTGTGTATAGAAAGAGACACAGCCGGTGAGAATCTCTTTTTCACGCTCCGGCACGCTGTTGGACATCGTGCGCTGGGGACTCCACCACCAAGGCAGCATGCGCTGGGGGCTTCACCACCAAGCTCCGTCTTCGATGTGTCCAAGGGCGGCGGTCAAATCAGCAGTAGCATGGTCGACAAGGGCACGGATCCATTGTGGAAGATGAGGGTAAATTGCGTCGTCGAAATACATCGTTTGTTGTAGGGAGTGCAGATGTTCACGACTATGGTAAAGGCCCAAGCGGAAGCTATGCTGAGAATCGTAGATGCCATAGAGGTGGGCTGCGGGTGTGTTGTGCGTCCAGTGCCAAAATGCAGCTTCCATGTCTGCAGGAGCTGAGGGTATGACGGCCCGAAAAGAAACAAAAAGGTCAGTTTGAGTTGGAAATAGCTAGAGAACAAGATAGAATATGGTGCGAGCTGCGCATTGACTGCCTGTGCACTTGAACTTCCGACTAGCGTCTGTGCTCTGAGCACCGCTCTACTCACCTAGGTTCCACTGATCCTGCTCGCATCACATCTATTCTGCTAGCATGTCCATCCGATCCTCGTACCCTTCGCTACGCTCGTGGACTCCATGTACTTTGTATTTTCATTTTTTGATTCATTTACTTATAGAAAAACATAGATGATAGATATATAAGGGACAGAGAGAGATATAAATA